ACGCGCCAGATTTCACCCAACCTTTCAAAGTTCGATGCTCACAAGTGAAATGTTGTCAAGCCTTTGAAAGCTAGTAAATACAAGAAGTAGAACTTTTTTAGTGCTGATATTCGGGGCAAGATGGCCCAAGTGGTTAGAGCGCGAATTTACTGATCGGAAGGTCCATGGTCCGAACCCGACCTCTGCCTCTCGACTTCCCCTGTCTAGGCTTGGGCAACCCGGCAGTATCCCAGTTCGCGTGCCTCCTTCGGGTGGCATGGTAGCTAGGCACCGAATGGGTGCCACAGTTGAACGATATTCGGAGCACGAAACGCACACTACTATCTACTTACCGAGGTCATTCTAGTTTGACACCCGTCAGGCTGCACCAAAGGCTGTCACGTCAAAGTAGGTTAATGTTTGACCCTAAACGACCTTTCTGACTTTGCCGCGTTGAACTGCTGTTCGACTCTCCACGAAACTTGGAATAACCAAATGAAAATACTTTTAAAAAACGAGTTTCAACAGAATGCTTTCTCTATAAGGGACCAGTTCCGTCAAGATCCGAGCGGATTTCAAAACTCATAAGAGGTCACCTGACAAATCAGACCCACTTTTAGGCGATATTGTGGCCAGGAATAACCAAATCCCGGTAGGACTGTAGAGATTCCCGGTCATTTCGCTCCTGAGCAGCGATAAACTAAAATGATGACGTGAGTGATAAAGGCGGAGTGGATAATGCCATTGATATCGTGCACTGATACTGGTGTCCGAAAAATGCCCATATGAAAATTAGTGACATGATTGGACCATAGTTAGATGGACACATTTTATATTGAAATACACCAATAGATCGCAACCATACTCACCAGTACAAAGATACCGGGCGGAAAGGTAATTTGGGACGCTACTGTCAGACAATTTCTGCCATAAGATCACTCGAATATGACCAGCTGAAACACTCCTGGCGAAATCGACTGAGATGACCGTTATATACTACTCATCAGTTGACGTGTACGGAGGCCAGCCGTCCCTAATAACCGAACATCACATCATTTACACGGATGTGTCACGTGCAGGACACGGGCCAAACGAAGGCGTGCCCTGATTGGTCAGAATGCCAGCCAATCCGAGTCAAGCACCTGTGACTCGACGCTTCTCGCCCCCTCACGGAGATTCTGGCACGACCTTGTGGAACGCTCTGTGACTACCCTATAAACACAGTTGTAATGATCTTCTTTTGTCTCCATAAAGGGCTATCAAGAGCTACCGTGCCTTTTGATACACCATAGTGGGCGGAGAAGGAAGCCAATGGACCGATACAAAGTTGCACTACCGTTCAGCAAGTCACAACATGACGTTGTCTTGCAAAAAAGTAATGATGTTAACTTGACCTGAGCTCAAACAATAGTGATTATAGTGGTGATAACCGTCCATCTGTAACATTCCTTCGGTGCACAGCTGCCTCCGAAGGAAGTACCAGGCCTGAGGCACTTCCGGGCTGCTCAAGCCTAGACGGGAGCAATCGAGATGCTGAGGTTTGGTTGAAACCCTCCAGTAAGCAAGTTCGAACCTTAAACGCAGAGCTATCTTGACCGCATATCGACCCGTCAGAAACCAAATCGATCAAACCAAGCCGAACTACTTCACGCTGGAGGCACCTGAATTATTACTTAGAACTAAGCGAGTTTCATTGTTTTGCCTGACACCTCTAGCGACTGCTTTGAACGTGCTGACCGAACAAACGTCCGCAGGGTCTTCCAGGACGGTCTGAAACCTGCCGGAAATTATCCTGATTAATTGTGGGTGGTTGCGAGATTTGTAGAATTCGTGCTCACATCACGATTCTTCTCTTCTCTCCTAGTGCGATCATTCCACTAATCCCACGTAAAAGTGGGAAACACTAGACTAGATATTCGCTCAGGCGTGAGCAGGTTGGTCCACTCCGGCGCGCTTATTCAGCTTTGTCTGGTGTGTGCTTGCGGAACAGTGGCAAAACACTCGGCTTGCAAGACAAACGCTCGCGGCACACAGTCCGGCATGGTTAGAAATAAGCGCAGAAGATGAGCGGAGCTCTAGGTCAAAGGTTCCACCGTTAGCTTGGACTAATCAGAATGATCGCGAATGAATAAGTGGAGCATGGTTCAAACTAGAGTAATGTGGGTGATATTTTTCAAAATTGGTAGTTTGGATGGGTTGATTAGCAGTTGACCTGTTTGCTGAGCTTGGCGATTGGCTTGCAAACGTTCGGTCATCATCCGAGCAAACATCATCAGTGGATGGGTGAATCTTGCGTTTCCGCTTGTGTATGTACAATTTCGAGGGACTAGTTAATATCCGCGACATTATTGGTTGTTTCAGGGTTACTTGATTCAGAAACTATGCAAATCCAAGCAGGAATCACCCATCCAACCGTGCACTGACGATCTGTTTGCAAGCCATATTCCAAGCTCGGCAAACGGATCAACAGCCAACTTTTAAAATCCTGCAGCCACCCGCAAAACAGCGAATTTTATGGGTGCTCGTGTCTGTCTGTAAAAATTCGAGTCCTCGTCATCGGCGGATGTTGACTGCTACTCAAACCAGCTGAATCGCTAATAAACATGATGACCCCAAGTCTTACGTTATACCTGTAACCGCGTAACCGTAGTACACATAAAAACAACATGAGATGATAAATTTATTGAAACTCACATTAACGTCTGAGTCAACGGAGAGCAGAGCAGTCCTAAATTTATGCCCAGCCCCGTATAGCGCATAACACTGGCTCGTGGCAGTTGGTCAGCATAGCTTGATTGAGCCCGACTGGCTACAAATCATAAATCAAAGGATAGCTGCTCTCAACCTCGTCTATTGTCCCATTCATATGCCTCACTGGATTGACTTCAGTGGCTGCGTCTCAGCTACTAACACCATAAAACTGCTCACGTTTCAAGCCACCTGACAATTCCGCTACCGGGCCTTACAACGAACGTCATGTGCAATGAATCGTTGACCGACAATGATAATGTTCTTGCATGAGTTATCATCGGAAATTCGAGTCATTATCCTTCCCAGACAATCGAATGATGCAGTGCCGTATCGTGAAATCACAAGATTTGCTTTATACTCCTACTATCTGTCAGTTATTTCGTTACGTCCGATAAACCGAAGCGGGCAAACGAATCCCCAATGTATCTGCCAGAGCGGCTAGTGCGTGAATACACGGGATTGGATAAGCAATGACCAATAGTTTTTCGCCATAACTCAAATGAGCACTCTTCACAGCACAAGCTAAAAAGGGACTGAAGTTGATGGCACAGCCATTATTATGCAACCCGGTTATAAACGTGTGGGCGAAGATGAGATAATCACAGAGCTGTCTTCGGGTACAGTGTAGGGTAAAACTGTTTCGCCAGTTGGTCAGGTCAATTACACCAATCACTGACGAACTTTCATTCGGAAAAAATCAATAAACATTCAGCAATAGTGAAGACACTGGGCTAACAGAAAATCCGGTTGAAAACACACATGGCTTAACCCTGACAAGCCACTCCTACCAACCACGTTATTCCGAACATGAGTAGAACTCACATCCCTCTGGTGAACACACGCTCTGAAACCGGCTTGAGATACAAAGGAAATACACTCATTTGCAAACAAACTTGGTTATGCGAGAGACTCACCTGGAACCCAGCTGAATCTCTCGTTTGTGATGTTTCCGACTGCCTAGTACTTTTAAGTGGCCCCGATTAGCTGTAAGTGAGCATTTCCCACAATGGAGCTTAAGGGCAGGGGAATTAACCAGTCACTAGGCTCCCCTGCTCAGCCAATCCTGACTGGGCGAAGCTGCAGGTGTGCAGTCGGAGACACCCAAGAAACGAAACCGCAGGCGCCACTTAAAACGTCAATGAAACTAATGTCGGTTTTACACTTCTTGTGTAACATATCAGTCCCCGAAGTTCCATCGAGCTCATTTCTCACATGATAGTGATGATAATAATGATTGAAATACACTCATTTGTAAACCAATTTGGTCTTGCTGAATCTCTCGTTCGTGATCTTGTTGAAAAACTAAATATGCTGCACCAGGCAGCCTCATGTTTCAGTCGGTACGATATTCGAGGTGTCGCGATACAGCTGAGTGTATTTCGCTAACTTCGTGCAATCGGGGGTTGACGGAAACTCGGGGACTGTGCCTACGTGATAAGCCCCAAGAAGGAAGAAAACGGTCGTGGGCTGTCGAGGAGTTTTCAGCAACCTTATGAGTAACGTAGTATGTCCGGTTGCCATGTCACCCGAAGGAAGAATAGGGGCCGAGATACTACCAGGTCATTCAAGCCTAGACAAAAGCAGTCGAGATTGGATTCGAACCACGGACCTTCCGGTCAGAAAGTTCGCACCCAACCACTGAACAATCTGACTTGAACACCAAACGGAACATATGCTGTACTAAACACTCAGTTGCAAGTTAGTTTGTCACCCATTCATGACGTCCTTCGACTGAATGTGATCGTAAGGAACAGCTCATGTTTCCACTGGCATGAGATTTAAGAGATCGGAGATTTTTTCTTCGTACGACTCTTGTAGAAAGGGTGATGAAACCTTCTGGGCAGTCCACTACCGGTTCCAACCCCCTCCTGCTTAAGCTCTTTATCCATCGAAACCTAGGAAATCGAGATGCTGCTGTAGTAACCAACGTCAGGATGACCGGAATGCATCGGAAAAAAACATCTTGTTCACTTTACAAATAACAAGAACGCGCAATCCAAGCCTATACAAACAAGAACTAGAACAGAAGAGACAAGAAAATGACGCTCCAACTGCAAGCGCATCGTGCAGCGGCCCCGTAACGACAACGAGGACCGTGACAAGCGCACGTGCAATAAAACACGTAACAAAATAATTAGAAAACTAGAAACTGGAAGTCAATGTAGCAATGTACATCCCATTCATTGTGTATTCCTCACTCACATTGTACCGGGGAGGGGAGATATAAAAAACAATTCATTGTACATATGAGCCCTTCACGGCAAATGGAGCTATGCAAGAGCTGAGAGAACAGTTGATTGGTGAGTAAATACAGTGTCCGCAGGGGGGGGGGCGGGGGATACCTCAGACAGGAGAGAATGTTGAAACCAGGGTGGACTGAGGAATGTTGATTGCACTGTCCTTGACCGAAAGACGTTGTTGTGGTTGCTGTTTTTGTTGACTGGAGGAGTTCGAGGACATGGGAGGTAAATAGGTGCTTGACGAGGAGGATGAATGAAGTAGGGGGATGTCTTGCTGGAGGGCGGATCGAGAGTGACACTGGGATGTGACCCTACACACAGAAAGGGTTGGGAAAGAGGGGGGTTTCGTGNGATGGTGGTGGTGGACGGAGCGCAGCTGGAATGTGGAAGGCAACTGAGTTGAGAGGCGGAAGACGTGTGGATCGTTGTGGGGAGCGATGAGTCGGACGACGATGGAAGAGTAGTCCTGGAGTGTTCAAGGATAGTGAAGAACAGCTTCATCGGTTGAAGTCTGCGCCAAGAATAGAGACAGGCCAGATCGGATAGGGTATATTCAGGCCTGAACAAATCGTCCGTGGTAAAGAATAAGGCAACCTTGTGTTCGTTCGGCTCCAGACCGAACTTGACTCGAATCAGTTTTTCCAAATGGGCCACGGTCAGATCGGGAGGACAGAGTAAATAAGTTGATCGGCATGTCAACGGAGAGGTGTTTAGCTGATGTAGTACTGGATTCATTCCGGATTGTTCAGTGGGCTGCCAGTATTCCAGCTCAATACTTATGTGTTCCTCTTCCTGGAGAACATAGGCGTTCAAAGTGATTTCGCCCTTTTTCTCCGGGCTGAGGGACCGAGTCTCGGCGGTTGGGTGATCTAGAATTTGAAGAACAAACAGATATAGAAACGGTACTAGGCGGTCGGATAATGTGGCTGGTATACATGGAATGTGCTAAATCAGATTAAATTATCTCGCATGTCTGTTTAGTAACCCCTATATCTGACCCAAAAAAGAGCATAGTCCCAGGAGAACCAAAAATGCTACGAAGCGGATGTTGCATCTCCATAATGAGGACTTTGTCACCAAATATATTTGTACGGAGCCACTACAGATTGCTTGGGATCTGGTGTGTAATATGGCCAATCATGGGAAGAGCACTAATCACGCTCCAACCCGATTTGCTGGTTCTCCGATCTGTGCCGTCGAGCCTGTTTACAAAATCAAGCACCGGCTGATATAGCACATGCTGTTTGGGGGTGCTTTCAAAAAACAGAAATTACACTCGAGGGGGGTACAATTGTGCTTTTGACGGCGTTCACCAGCCGAGAACTTATTGAGACGCCAGATTCACCCACCCTTACAAGTCCGTCTTCCTCCTCCCATGTCCACCTGGTGAGTTCGACGAATAGGTACAAAAGATTACGTGTAAATGAGTTTACTGGGGTCCGAACACACAAATTAAAATAACGTCTGGTTTCACTTCAAGCACACAGTCTCCACAAAGATAGATCCTTATGACTTCAGCAACGATCATTTTGTTTAATCAATTGCATCCAAGCTATTGCCTTCAATGTTCCCTTCCCAACACCCCCCCACTTGACAGCCCACTGACAGTGCTGGATTTATACACCAATTTATCAGCTCCCGTCTCCAATGCGCAGCTACCTACCCCCCCCCCAAA